ACCAAGAGATATTACTGGGAAATTCCCTGACAGAAAGAAAGAGAACAATGCAGATACATATATGACAAGAAGAGAAAATACCCATAGAAGAAGAATAGAGAACGAATATACATAGGACTATTATACAATTGTCTCTTATGGCATGTACGTGCGATAACACACCCACCTTCTTTTTCTTCAGGTGTCATCTGCGCGGCAGCCGCAGGATTTTTCCCCATTCAATTTCTGGCGGAGATGACCTCAATTGGTACACTCTTTGCTTTCTTCTTCGTTCACCTAAGTGTTATTCGAATGCACTGGACGCACAAGCCGAAGGAAAGCAGCAGCGAGGGTGACTTTGACCTAAGCGATAGTTGCGAAAGTCTGGCAAACCAAGCGGTCAACGAACGGATCATAACATTTCCAAGCCGACAACTGATCTGGCCTATCGTCGGCATGCTCTCCTGCCTCTTTCTCCTGTGGTTTACTACGAAATGGACAAAAGTTCGATTTGTGGTGTGGAACTGTGTCTTGGGACAGTTAGTGTATTGGTTGTACAGTCGAAAACACTCTGTCTACGGTCATCAGAGAAACAATTTTGACTTTTTAAGCTCGATGGATCCCACGAATCCGTCGGTAAATAACCTTAGCGGAGCACAACAATCAGAACCTGTGTCTCCTTCACTTAACTCTGTGGAAATGCAGCTCACGTCTCATATTAGAACAACAGTACAAAGAACAACAACGCCATCAACGGAACAGCAGTTGCAAAGAACTGTGCAAAACGACTTAACAATAATAACAAGATTTTGAGGCATACTCTTCGATTTATGCCGAAGAATGAAGGATTTGTGATTTTCATGTGTGTTGGGAATTTCCAAGCTGCAGACTATTAGCGCGTCCATGCATGACTATAAACAATCTGTATCAAAAAAAGAAAATGGTTTCTGTTTTATGCGTCTCTCCCTTTACTATCATAAGAAAGTGAAAAATAAATCGCTCGATGCTCCACTCTACGTGCACTGTAGTCATTAGCTATGGGTCACGCACACTCCACTCGCCGCTATGAAAGCCGCTGGAAGGGACAAAATCGAGAACCGCATTTCGCAACACAATACATAATTTTTACATAATTTTTACATCGATCGATAGGTAAGACTCAGCTCAACCTACCTGTAAAATATCCCCTTTTTTTGGTGAAAAATAGCTGCAGACCTTCAAGAGTACTGGCAAAATTTTTTATCCTGATCATAATTACCCCAGGGTACTCTATAGTCTTCAACGCTCCTTTGCTGAACGAAATTTCTTTACAACTATCTGGACTATATATTTCGATTAAGCGTAGAGAATAAAACTGTTTATATTTGACTGAATGCTTGATAATAAAATAAGAAAAGTTATTAACAGGTTTGTAAACTGTATAGTTAATTAATTTAAACTAACTTTATACAAATATATCTGATAGAAATTGTCGTCGCAAATGAATAGTATAATTCACATAAATCATCGGGAAACAAGCATGGAAAAGCACATTTATACTTCGTGTGTATACGGTCGAAATCAAAATAAAACATGTCGTTTTCACACACATAATGGCACAAATACAAAGTATGGGGAAAGTGGAGAAAAAGCAGTAGCACGCAAAACCAGTTTTTCGCTCATCTCTCGAAAAGTAGACTTTGCACTAAAAAACGGACCACAGATTTGGAATCTACGTGCAAGAACGGACCAGAATATGTATACTATTTTCTTCTAAACCGGACGAAAAATGATTTGCCTTCAGTTAATTTTAAAACGCGTTTGTGTAAATTGAACCAGGCTAGCGTCTTGACATCTAAAAACCAGGCGATTCTGTTCAGATTTTCCTTTTGTGGTCAAGCTGCTGATGTAACGACGTTGCCTGCAATTGTAGCGTTTCTTAGTATCGGTCCTGCTTTTTGCTCTCAGATTTAATATAATTGATATTTTATATCTGCTCTATTTTGAACAGGTATACTGAACTGAAGTAACAGCAGTACTTGGTACAAGTTTAGATAGATATTCTTTTTCTCTTTCTGTTCGTTCACACGATAAAATAGAAAAAGAGAAAATGGAAAAAAAACCATATATATTCAGAACGAAAAACAAAGAGAGAAAGTAATAAAAGGCGTTAGTTTCCACGTAAAACCAGTTTTTCGTCTATTTTCCGAAAACTAGACTAGACACCAAAAAAAACAGACGCCGGATTCCGAATCTACGTGCAAAAACCGACCAGAATATGTATACTGTTTCCTTCGAACCGGACGAAAAATAATTTGCCTGATTTGCTATGTGTACACGATGGGAACATCTACTTATTTTAAATTTCCTCTCATTCTCTTTTTTGCGCTGTTTTGAATTATTTATATCTCGAGATCCAGTCAAATGTAACTATAGAGCGAAGTATTCGTAGCTCTCTCTACATCTTCAATACGAGGAGGTTTGTCGCCTTTAACAGTTTTCTTCCATTGTATGATATCAAAAAAACGTACTCTTATCCTTCGTCTATTAGTCTAGAAGCAAGACGCCGTCAATACAACAATGAAGAAGGAATTTTTCGTTTTAGTATTACTAAAAAAAAATGCAAATACTCACAAATAAATCCAAATGAAAATCTCAGTTAGCCAACCGGTAGAGCTCATCGAACTGAAATATAGACAAACATAATAAACACTCATCAAATTTTCTGTAGTTGCGCTTTTTAATTATACGTTTACAATGAACACCCACGAACAACCAACAAGAAATGAGTCAAATGCATTTCCAGGCTATTCTTAGCCTAGTGGCACAATTTTTAACTAGAAAAAAGTACTTATTAAAAATTTCTGAAAAAATTCATCCTGTCGAATATGACATAGCTAATGCCAGTGCTTCACGTAAATGGATGATGCCGATCGAACTATGTATAATAAAAAAAAAAAATTTCTGCTCCATTTCTGAATTGCCGGCACCTTTTATTAAGCACGATACATCTCTCCCACTTTTCCAGATAAATTGAATGCATAAAAACAGTTTTAGATAAACATTTCAAATTCTTAAGGATGGCTCATAAAGATGTTCGTTTCTTGAAATTACGTCAACAGGTAAAAGACTGCCTTTCACAAGATAATAAAATTTTAACTGGAGAATTGACATACTTTATAAATAAAAAAGATTCAAAATATAAAACATTATTCAAGGACAATCATTTTGAACGACTATTACATAGTAATGATCCATCACAAGAATTCATAAGTATTCTTGACGAATTGGAGTTATTCACATCATACATATCTTATGGCGAAAACACATTTCTGTTTGATTTTATAACTCAATCAAATTTATGGCCAAAATTTGATGTATTGGTACTGTTAGAAGATTTCTATAACAGTAAGAACAATGACGAAGCTCTCAAACAAAATCGAAGTAACGGAATTTTTCCAGTTTTGGCATAAATTATGGTGTTTTCTCTTTAAGAATTTGATTGTGCAAGATCGTTTCTCAGTAGAGAGTTACGTATACGATCGGAAATTCCCGATTTTTTTGGTTCTCTTGTTAATATGGATGAGTTTTATGAATTAAATCCAACAAGGGAATCTTCCTGTCTACTATGGGAAAAACTATTAAAACAGGCAAGAGTCAACTTTTTTCAAGAAAATAAGCGCGATATGAAAGTTGAAGATTTAATCAAAGAGTTGCGCGCAGCAGGATTAAATAAAATGGCTACCGATTTAGAGGTAATTATATGCAACATACTTGTTTCATTTCATCTGAGCACAGTAGTTTTTTATTTTCTAGAGAAAAGTTCGCGAGGAAGGACATTGCAGTTGAGAAGTGCAATGCTATGGTTCAATTTTTTTGCTCATTTTTGTAAGCTCTGTTATTTTGAAAATATTGTTCCTTTAAAAGTAAAGCTGAAAGTTCTAATTAGGTAAACAAACTAGCACGTTATCACCAGTTATTCTAAATTTAACTTCAAAAGCTTCTACTGACGGATGAGATTATCAAAATTTACTCCTTCAATACATATCGAAATCTGTTAAACTTGTTTTACTCATGAGAAAAACTACGTAAGCCGATATATCATAACCCATAGCTTAGATTTTCGCACCTATCACATTTATCTGTCTTTGTCACATTATAATATAAATATACTCTTCTTTTAGTCATGTGTCACAAATTTGACCGATAAAGGGAAGACTTTCGATTGTTTTGTATGATTCGGACATTTAAAATTAATAACCTTATTTTCCCTATCAAAATCATTTAAAGTTTAGTATTCGAGTATCTCCAAAATATATCCATTTTTCTACTAATACTGATGACGTCAGTAAATCACTGATTCTCGCAATGCCTGTGTAAGCCACATATCATCTATAAATGCATGTGTAAACTTTTTCTCTAACTTGTATTTGTTTTATCTGTTGACGATCATTTTATAATCGGATGCTCATAATTATAATAAAATAAATTAAAAAGGATCATTCAGCTGTAACAAAGACAATTTCATCAAAAAATAGAGTTGTAGCCTTTCACTGTTATACATACACACACCCTAAAGTATTGAGCATTTTACGTCAGTTAGTTAACGGACTATTTCATAGTGTTTTCTACAGTTTTTTCTTACAGCAAATACTAAACGTCTGTTGAAAAATATAAGTTTGTTGGTTATAAAAACTCTCGGAGCAAAACACCATGTTCCAGAGATTTTGCACAAATTTTTTCTAGCCGACAACTTCAGCAAGAGAAGCCGAAAGGCAAATGGAGAGGCTTACTCGTTAGTTAAGGATTTAGTTCTCTAACTGGATTAGTTTCACCGGTAACCCCCTGGATCCATGCTGAAAAGTTTTTCATTCATATGTTGTTCACAGCTCAAAAAAGATGTAGTTTTATTCATTTATTCTACTTTAACTCTAAACTACAATTATATATATATATATAACGAGAATGACAGTTAACAGAACGTGGTACGTGCTGGTCAAATTTGGATATTTATAATTATTGATCAGCTAATGGATAAAATGTATGTTAATCAGCACCAGAATAACGTCTGCCGTATGTAATATTAGCCATCATCTGTTGTGCAAGGTCAAATAAACACCACTCACATTTATCTGGACCAATCGATTTTAATTTCTTTTCATTTCCATTATAGACAAATTTGGTAATATTTTCCCGCTGATCATCACACGATATCGTATACATTGTATGAGTATCTGCACCATATTTCAAGGAACCTATTGTTACATATTTATTACCATGATAAACATGTTGATCAGTTAACGAATATGTAAATGATGATATATTACTATAACAAAATTTCATCGACATTTGTCTTGTCACGGCAGGAAAAAATACTTTTCCTAGGAAAGAAAATTTTAACCATTTATGGTTTACCAAGTTCAATGTAGATCTGTCTCACTAGTACAATGCTTCGAGAGAAAAAGAGCTACCTTCTACATTTTGCAAATTCTTATGAGACATTGTGACGGTTTTTAGCGTCCGTCACTTGTTGCCTTTCACAGGTCCTTATTCCCTTGACTATACTATACATAAATCTCGACCTTATTTCTAACGTCAATACGAGTGT